AAGAAATAAAACATATAAGTGAAAAAAGCGTTGTATATTCTCATTATTTTCCCCAAGAATCATTCTGAGAGTTGCATATCATCCTCATCATCTTCAAAAAGAGCTACAGAGTGTTGTCCTTCTGGACAGTACATCAGCTCTTCTACCTCTCCGCCACCATTGCTTTGTTTCTGAAAGTGTATCTCAAGAAGGTCTCGCAGAGCATCTTTGTCTATAATATCTGGGATTCCTGTGATGAGGACTGTACGGTTACATTCCAACTTCCTCATCTGCAATGGACAGGAACAAGAACGGATGATTAATAACAATTCATTGTTTGTAGATTGCTTCTATGTAACATGAGGCCGACAGAGAAACTTCGATATCAAAAAGGAAATAGGACGGCCTGCAGAGCACTCCAAACTCACCAGGTAATTCTCCAATTTCATATTAGGGACACTTGGCAATTTATGTGAGCTAGTTAAAATACAACTATAGGGGAAAATGGATTTTGGTGTCTGCATTGGCGGTAATATTTGTAATACTAGTATTCAGTATGTTAATTCCCTTGTCACATGCTATGATTTATCGTTTAGTACACTTTCTCCTAACTACAGGGAAGGGGGGGTTACAACGGTCACTTTTTATTGATGTGGACTAGACCTTTCTACCAAAAGAGAAAAAAACTACCTAAAAGAGTTAGCTAGAGTTCTGCTTTAATTTGTTTGCTCTTACTTCAAGTCATTTAAGACGTTGTCAATCTAAGACTACCCTGTGCATAGGGCGACAACATTGCTGCTTGACTTTACTGCAGAGCGAACAACGTTGTCACCTTATTAAAGAAAGTAGAAAAATAACAGATCTCCCAGCAGGAAATCAGTTAGCACAGTTTACAGTAAGTAGGATTCTTTTGTGGCTGGGAAACTATGTGGGGAGTATTCTTCTCTCAAAAACAGCAAAAGCTCACAAATAGAAATATCTCGAAAAAAAGATCATCATCAAATTTAACAGAATAACTGACAGTAAAATCATTGAGATGCTATGATGAGGAGCTTCTTTATCTTATTTCACAGCACTGGAAAGTAGTGTAATTGGAAGGAGGAGGTGATCTACTGTGTCTCTGAAGCCAGTGTGGGAGATCGCTGGGGAAGACCCGTGGTGTAAAGACAAGACATCATTGTTTAAATATCACCCAGGGAGCGCAGACTGGATGGATCAATGATCTCTATATCTGTTTTGTGTTTCTATTATTCCAGATTCAGTGCCAAACGCACAACTGCTGGTGTGTGATGACGGGTATTGTGCCAATGCATCTCTGCTGGAACATCACAATGTTTACTAACAGTTTTCAAGAAGCTAAAACGTTCAATGGCTTACCGTGTAGTCCTTCAGGTGGCCTTCTAATGAAGGTGATACCACCACTTGGTGAAAAGACTCTCCAAAGGGCACATGAAAGGATTTTTTTGCTACCAGTCGTGAAGCAACTGTAATGTAGTAACAAAGTTCTATTAGAAACATAATTATAGAGAAATGCAATATTGTATTCACACACTACTACCCACTACACCGATAAGTCCAGAGAGGAGAACGGGAGTGATGTGGAACTATGGGCAATGTCAAAAATGGCTTGTACCGATCATTCTCATGCCTGGTCAGTGACTTCTACCAATCATTATCACACCTGGTC